AAAAAGCAGCATAGACTGAACAATGGATAGTTATGGATGACTAAAATATGTGCATGACAGTAAAAAATATACTACAACATTTTAGTAATAATAGCAGTAGAACAAATCTTTCAATTGTGTGCAAGTTTTCCATTCACTCCAACAACCAGGGTGACAGCACTGGGAAGTTGGGATTCCATGAGTTCAAGTATTTATGGAACAACATCAAGAGGTGGCAGGTATTGATGAGGGTTTTAGTCCTCTTTTCTGCAAATGTTTACACCAGTTCAGATCAAAGGAGACTGGGAACTCCATTTCTCATGCTGAATTTCTCCTTAGGGGTTTTACAAGACGTATGATGCAGACCATTCAGGTGTCATTGGTGCCGATGAGTTGCCCAAAGCTTTCAGAGCTGCAGGTGAGTACAGAAAACTACAGTGGTCGCCTTGATTAGCTGTGTGACTCTTTGGGTGTCAAGTGATAATCATTCTTCGTCAGGCTGAATGGTTAAAACTGTAACTTGTCATGAGGAAGCAAGTTGCATGTGCCTTTTTGTCCTAACTTCAAAAACAGTTTTGTATCAGTTATACTAATTCAGCCCTTTAAAATTGAAACATACTAGGCAGACATTCATATTGCAAAACAGGTTATTAGATTGGTTTTCATTAATTAAATTGTATGAATTTGTTTAGCTATTCGGTATAATTATTTGCAAGTCATTCTAACCCTTTTGGAATTATAAGAGCATGCAAATATAGAAAATGCATAGAACATGCAAATATGTAAAGGACTGTAGGGGATCGCAGTGAAGGGCAGCCAACTGCTGCAACTACTTGGGGTTAAGGGTCCTGCTGAAGAGCCTGTGGTCATGTGACTATTCTGCTGAGACCAGGTTTGAACTGATGACCATCTGATTAGAGGCACAGAGACTTAGCCCACTAATCGAAATGTAATTGTATGTAAATTTGTAAATTGGGAAGAATTTATAAACAAATTCCAATACTAATTTTTAAGCCCTGAAATAACATCAATTGTTTTGGGTCTAATCTCACTCTAATTTTAAATTTTGATTTATTTCAAATAAATCTGTATAGTTCATTTTTCTAGTTAAGAAGGTCTGAAACTGAACCGGCTCTAACCAGGAAAGAGAAGCCACCTATATCCAGTAATACCAACTTTATGAAGGTCATTTAAACAGTAGTACTCAAATTGTCAAAAAGGCCAAATTACCCGTAGGATCAATAGTACATTTCTGCTTCTGAAATAGACTGTCATGTCCAGTCTCCTTTACCGTAATACATCAATCTTCTAACCAGTTATCCTGGGTGAGGTTGTGGAGGGGGGAGTTTGGTTGGGGCCTGTTCATGTGAATTATATGTGAATAATATTCATGTAAAATCTTAACATTTTTCTTACCCTCGCAAACAGGCTTCCCTCTCAACGATCAGCTGTTCCAGATGATCGTTCGCCGGTATTCTGACGAAAATGGGAACATGGATTTTGATAATTACATTGGCTGCCTGGTCAGGCTGGACGCCATGTGCCGTAAGTACGGATTTATCCTCTGAAGAACTTCAACTATTTCTTTCAAACGGGCAACATTTATTCACAGTTTTTTGTTTAAACTTTTAGGTGCTTTCAAGACCCTTGACAAGGACAACAATGGAACTATTAATGTCAACATTCAGGAGGTAAAAAAAAAATACACACACACACACACTCTGTATTGACAGACGTACTGGGATACACATCTTAATCATTGAATTCAGGTCTTTCGTTCTGACCCATTGCCACAGCTGTATAAAATCAAGCACCTAATCATGCAGTCAGGTTTACAAACATTTGTGAAGGAATGGGTCGTTCTGGAGTTCTCAGTGAATTCAAGTGTGGTACTGTCATAGGATATCACCTTTGCAATAAGTCAGTTCACGAAATTTCTTCCGTACTAGGTATTCCATGGTCAGTTGTAAGTGGTATTATTGCAAAATTGAAGCTTTTAGGAACAGCAGAAAATCAGCCACAAAGTGGCTGACCATGTAAAGTAAAAGAGCGGGGTAACCGAGTGCTAAGGCGCATAGTGCATAATAATATGCCACATCCTTTAGGGTTGCAGACAATTTATGCCATCTCATGTTGTATAATGACATTTAAATCCTAGCCCTCGAAAATAAGACAACCCAACTTTCTATTCACGCCAGTACATACAGGAAAATGACAGGGCATATCATGATAATGCGGTTCACATGTGCATATTCGACTATCAGGGACGTACCGATTGTTCGATAAAATACCGTGTACCGTTACCCCGAGTGTGTAAGTCAGTCACCCACGCTCTGTTGACTCAATAACTGTAGGGTTCCAGACTTCCTCTGGCATTAACCCCAGCACACAATTTGTGCACCAGGAGCTTTATGGAATGGGCTTCCATGTCCAAGTAGCTGCATGCAAGCCTCACATCACCAAACACAATTCAAAGCGTCAGATGCAGTGGTGTAAAGCACACTGCCACTGGACTCTGAAGTGTATACACATTTTGGACAATATTTTGGACAATTCTGTGTTTCCAACTTTGTGGGAACAGTTTGGGGAAGGCCCTTTGCTGTTCCAGCATGACTGTGTCCCAGTGCTCAAAGCAGGGTCCATAAAGACATGGTTGGGAGAGTTTGGTGTGGAAGAACTTGACTGGCCTCACAGAGCCCTGACCTCAACCCCATCAAACACTTTAGGATGAACTAGAACGGAGATTGTGAGCCAGGCCTTCACATCCAACATCAGTGCCTGACCTCATGAATGCTCTTCTGGATGAATGGGGAAAAATTCCCACAGACATAGTCCAAAATCTTGTGGAAAGCCCTCCCAGAAGAGTGGCAGCTGTTATAGCTGCAAAAGGGGGACCAGCTCCATATTGATGCCTGTTGATTTAGAATGCGATGTCATAAACTTTCCTGTAGATGTAATGGCCAGGTATCCCAGTACTTTTGTCCATATAGTGTGTGTCCCCCACAGTGTGATAAAAACCAGTAACTTTCACGTTGTGGGGACCATTTTTCAGGTTCCCAGAAAGATCTGTGAGTGCAATCAAAAATCTACAAATGGCAGAAGTCTTGTATTTTGTTTGGTTATTTATGGTTAAGGTTAGGGCTGGGTAGGGGTTAAGGGTGTCATGTTGGGATGAGAGTTTTGCCCATTGTGTCCCCACAAAGATATAATTACAAACCTGTGTGTGTGTGTGTGTGTCTCCATATTGGATTGTTTCATATGGCTCATTCACTTGGTTCTATTAAGTTAATTCAACCTGAAACTAAGGGCGCAGTTTTATATTACACGATGTTTAATGGATCTTTATTGTTTCTTCCTTTTCAGTGGTTGCAATTAACCATGTACTCCTGAAACATGAAGATATGAAACTACAGTCACCCCTTACAGTCACGTTGGCGAGGGTTAGGGGGGAGGAAGATCCCCTCAAATGTGCAAATTCGCGAGTAATACTTGATTACGTTATTAAAAATGTAAAATTAACGGAACTGAAAAGTTACTATGAGAAACGTGATTTTCCACGGTCACAGAGAGAGAGAGCTAGAACATAAATGAGGCTGATTGCTGAGACAACAATGGAGGGCGTGTCCAAGCCAAGATATTATTTTTTTTTTACCAAACATAACTTTTACTATTAAAGTATTCACTTACGCTAAGACATATTATGCATTACTAATATCTGTATTTTATATGATTTTATGTGATCCAACTCATTTTTAACATTCCTATATTTTTGGCTTACACGTTGTCCAAAAACATTCCCATTTAATTGCTCACGGCAAACTCGCAAATCACGGAATCTGCTAATGTCAAATTCACGAATGTGGGGGGGGGCGATTGTACTTCTTCTTTGTTTCCTAGACTTCACTAATTTGCTCCCTTGTATATGTACTATGCTTGTGTCCTCTGCATGAGCTTTTTCATAGAGATTACAGAGCTTTTAAGGCATAAACTAATTAAAACATTGGTCTTTTGTGCCTTGAAATTCCATTTCTGTGATATGTATAAACAGAGCATAGGTGCATTACCTATTATGTGCAAACTCTGGTTGCAGTATACAATACAATCACTAGATGGCATACTAGTAACATGCCAAGCAAGAACCTGGACAAGATGTTAGTCTTTCTTTTCTTCAGTCTGTCTCTTTGTGACGGTGCATTATTAAAAAAAATCTCAATAAAAGAATGATTATCACTTGACATTTATGTCTTTTTTTTCATAATAATGAAACATTTGGTATTAACAGCACAGGTGTTGAATCGTTAAAATAAAAATCCCTCTTGGCATTAAATTTCTGAAGCACTCCACTACATGGCCCCCCATCCTGGGTTATTCCCTGCCTTGCACCCATAGCTTCCATAATAGGCTCCAGACCCCCCGCAACCCTGCTTAGGACAAAAGGGGAGAGAAATGGATGGCTGGATATGCTGCATAGTTGTGCCTATAAGCTAAACGTTTTACACATAATTTTCTTTTACAATCATGCAAATATAACATTTGACTCACTCATACGAGGTCAATATATGCATCTACTATTTGGAAAGTAAATTTCTTTTATTTTTATTTATGTTTGATAGATTAAATAACATTTATGTGTTGTGTGATTGCATTGAATTTCTTTGAACTGAATTTAATAAAATTCTTCTTGCCATTCCAATTCAAATTCCAATTCAGCATCCTGTGGGGTGGTGCCTGTTCAATTCAGATTCCAGTTCATGATTGGAATTGGACACATTTCATGAACTCAGAACTTTGCACAACCCCTGTACATAATGAGCTAACCAATCAGAACTCTTATGTATTCAGACACACCCTTTGAAGTGGGATTAAGGTTAATTACCCCCTTACTACTTGTTTGTGTTTTAGTTTGTGTTTATATTAATCACCTCTGTATGTGTGTCTATATGAAAGATTTGTCCGATTTTTCTTATTTGCTGCCATCTTGGCCAAGACTTCCTGGAAGAAGAGATATTGTATCTCAGTGGAACCTTCCTGGTAAAATAAAGGATAAATAAAGTAAATAAACTACCAGCAACTACCAGCATTTTTGGCAGCTGTCCGGAGAATTGTGCAAATCAATCCAAGAGGCCATCTCCACTAAATCCATACTCCACCTTTTATTCCTCATTTACATACATGCCTTACGCCATACATACTGCTAGTTCCTGTTGCTTGTTAAAGACTAAAACAAGAAAACAGAATTTGCTGGGGAGCGTGTGATGTCCACAAAGGTGTCACATTTGAGTTTTTACATATTATATATATTTTTTGTGATTATTGTCTTTTCTTTAGAATACATTTATTGTTACTATTTGGGGGAAATATGTGCCCACAGGACATGAGAAAATCTGTGTACTGTACTTCAAAAGTTTTTCCGTTACGGAATCGACTTGTCATACTTGTTCCAGACCAGCAGGGGGCAGAGTCACGTAGCGATTGTCTCTTCGTTTTGCATTTTCTCGTAACTGCAGGGAACGCGGAACTGTCGACACGCTGTTGATTGCGTCATCATTTCTCTCCTATATTTCAGGAAAGTCATGTGTAAAACACATTTAAAACAGGATAAAGACATGACAAGATATTAGTTAATTATTTTGCTAAAGCAGCTATAGTTAACATTGACACATGAATTTTGTTAGAAGGGCTAATTAACTCGGCACACGCGTTCTCCTACCTGCGCATGTACCTGTACTGTGTTGCATGACCTATTGTGCGTTTTTACTGGTTAGCTCAGTTCCCACATTATCTCCCACCAGCTATAGTTGTAAAACTATTTATGCTTTATGAGTTTGTATGAAAATGGTCAATGAGATATTTGAAGTTACACGCGTGAAGGATTATTAGATCTGTTAGATGTTTTTGTACTTCATATATACAGAAGCTGTAAAATAGACCTAGAAGAAAATGTGAATATGTATGTTACGCAATGTGAACTACGTATTGTGTTAACCTGGAAACGGGATATTATTGCTAAAAAAAAAAAAACATTTAATGTAAATCTGACTCATAAGAAAGAGACGACACGCACTTGCTGAAAAGAATGTTTAATAAATAACTGCACCCGCCTTAATGGTTCAAGTGCCCTTTTTAGAATCACGAATTGCGCAAACAAATGGTGAGGGATTCCACGGCAGGGAAAAGGCATCGGTTGGCCCCACCTCCCTGTTCGAGCACCTGACTGTGGAGATATCTGGGCAAGTCACTGATCCTAACCAGAGGGGCATATTTTATCAGTTTCATTCTCAGTTTTTCAGTAATCGCACATGATCAAGCTCTGTAGAACTGATTGGTTTTGAGAAGCCTGCCAGCTGATTTTGAATCTGTAAGCCCTTATTCCAGTCTCATCTGGTTCATGAAGCATAAATTTATCATTCAAACATTCAAATTTCTCAATGCAAGAAATAGGCTTAGAGAAATAATAGGCCTGCTGACTTAAAAATTGATTTGTGTCTCACCAGGAGCTGTTGTTTTCGAGTATTTTTTCTCATCACGTTGGTTTTTCATTTAAGTCAGGGGTGGCAAATCTTATCCGCAAAGGGCTGCTGTGTATGTGGGTTTTCAATGTAACTCCATAATTAGATTGCTAATTAGAGGATTGGTTGGCTGAGGAGTCCTCACACCTGGGTTTGAACAGCTGACCTACAGGTTATCCCAAAAACCTGCATACACACCGGCCATTTGCAGATAAGATTGGCCACCCCTGATTTAAGTACTTTGAACATTCATGATGAACCCCAAAAATGTGGGGGGAGCGGGGGGACCCTGAGCACCTCCCTGTTTTGCCTATTTAATGGGAATGTGTGCATGAGCTTTAAATGGTGGTGGGAAAGAGACCCGACCATATCCACCCCCACTCCTTTGTCCCACAACATAATACAGTAGCGTTTCTTCTTTACATCTTGAATAAAGCTTCAATTTAATGACATTTTATTGTTCTTTATGGCACTAAGAAGACTTGAGTTCGTGTTTGGATTCTTGGATTGATTCTGATTATTTTAGGAATCCCATCCATCCATTTCCCCCACCTGCTTGTCCAATCAAAAAATTACAAGCATAAGGCAGGGAATAACCAAAGATGGGGTGACAACACATCATAGGATACACAGGCACAACATTCACACCCATCAGCAATTTAGTAACTCCAAATCACCTTAGCCTGTTTTTGGACTGTGAGGAGGAACCTGAAATCTTGGAGAAAATCCCCTGATGACAAGGGGAGAACATGCAAACTCCACACACATGGACCCAGGCCAGAGACTCGAAATTCAGTCTTAGAAGTGAGAGGCAACATTGCCAGCCACTGCACCACCATGCCGCCACGTTTTTCTTAATGTAATCTTCCCCCTCTTCTACAGGTCAAAACTTGAGTCATCTGGGAGTATTCCTATTTTGGTTGTCAGTTGGCTGTATTCAATCTCGATATTATCCTTTCAATCTGCTGTAAATTCTGGGATGTTTTATCAGGTTCCAGCACAACTTTGGTCTAATGCCTAAGTGCACATCTAGCACATCGTATAGGACCTTCTGTCTCTGTACCCCAAAGTGTTTAGGTGTTTTTTTTCCATTCCTATGTAGACAAAGCCAGATTTGTTTTTGTTCCTTCTAAATAAGTTTATCAAATCCATCTTTGCTATTCATAAATAAATTCCCTCTGTCACATCACTCTGTTTACTCTACTACTTGGAGGTGGATTCCAGGGTCATGTTGGCTTATCACCAGAAAGGATGGACCATGTCCAACAGGAGTAAGTGTGGAGACAAGAGGAAGCTGTCTGAAATGGATGTCCGGGTTCTAACCCAGACTGTATCCAAAAAACATAAAACCACAGCTGCCCAACTCACTGCAGAATAAATATGCACCTTGAAGCTCCACAGGGTCAATATTCATAGTCAGGCTGCTATGGCCAAACCTTTGGTCACCCATGCCAGTGCCAAATGTTGATTTAAATGGTGCCAGCAGCATAAATCTTTTGCCCGTGGTCAATGTAAAACAGAATGAATCCACCTTCACTATCTTTCCCATATCTAGGAGCCCCTATAGGACCTGGTATGGAGAAGACCCAAAGAGGTTTACTACCCAGACTGTTGTGTACCCAGAGTGCAGCACAGGGGTGGATCGGTGATGATTTGGGTTGCAATATCATAGCATTCCCTAGGTCCACTACCTGTTCTAGATGGGTGCGTCAGTCTCAAGACCTACCAAACCATTCTGGAGGGCCATGTTCACCTAATGGTTTAAACATTGTACCCTGAAGGTGTTGCCGAATATCAGGATGATAATGCGCAAATACACACAGCAAGACTGGTGACAGAGTGGTTTGATAAACATGAAAGTGAAGTTGAACATCTCCCATGGCCTGCACATTCACCAGATCTGATTATTGAGCCACTTTGGGGTGTTTTAGAGGAGTGAGTCAGGAAACGTTTTGCTCCACCAGCATCATGTAGTGACCTGGCCACTGATCTGCAAGAGGAACGGCTCAAAATCCTTCTGTCCACGTGCAGGACTTGTGCCTGTCATTCCCAAAATGAACTGATGCTGTTTTGGCTGCAAAAGCAGGCTCTACGCCACACTAATAAATTATTGTGGTCTAAAAGCAGGTGTTTCAGTTTTACTTTGTCCAACCCACATCACTACTTCATAAATTGGTTACTGATTGTATATTTTGATATTGTTTACAGAGGGGGTTTATTGTATGGTGTGCCTTCCTGTTAAAACCCTGCTCATTTCAGAGTGAGAATTTCCTTTGTGGGATTACTTTATTCAGTATTATGCCAATGTAATGATGGAGGGGTGACCTTGTCTGTCTTGGGAAGCAACAGAGGCCAAAACTGTTCTGTTTGAGAAGACTCATGCAGATTACTTTAATTACGATGATCTCAGAGAATGATTATGTGTCAGAAGGTGAGGGATGAAGGGCTCAGGAGCAGGCATGTTAATAAAACAAAAAGGGGTTTTATTGAACTGAGGACTAATGCGAGAAACAAACGGGATCACAACAGATCCAAAAACAGGAGGACAGGAACAAGGGAAGGCCCAAGCAACACACTGGTCTGATGGCAATGACAGGACTGGGGATCCCAGCACTGGGAAGGACTTATATACAAGACTGAGGAGGGAGCTGAGCAAGAGACAGCTGGAGTGAGTAACAGGAGAGCAGGAATGGGAGGTAAGACAAACGAGTAACAGGTGTGGCTCATTAGGGCCACACTAGGGAGGAGTCAGGAGGGTCACATGGGCAGGGTGTGACACGTCTCTCATCCTCTTTTCATTAGTTTATCTTGTATGTTACCTGCCACAGCTAAATTTCTGTTCTTCAATATCTGTAACTCCTCATTTTTGGAGAAGCTGTCATCTGAAATGAGGATCCTCAGAGACACTGTTTCTCCAGTATTTTACATAATAACTAGAATTCACTAGTTGAAATCTAGTGACAGATTATATGGGCAGAGCTGTTCAGGGAGTACAAATCTCTTGACTAGCATCTGAATTGAGGGAGGTAGAGTTAGACATGAACTATTGCGAATGAATACTCGTCATACCTGCTCAGCTAGTTAAAATGACAGTTTTGCAAGGCTGTGAGGAGCTACTAAAAATTGTTAAGGTCATTTGTTAACAAAAAAAGGATCAGCTAAATAAATAAAACTAGTGCGGAGTTTAAACATGTCACTCTAAGCATAATTCATGTGCATCAGAAACATGTTTATAGCTTAAGTTAAAGGGTAGATTTATCCCTGTGTTCTTCACAGATTGCAGTAGGAGTTGTGGTTGCTAGTGAAACAAGAAGTGAGCTAAAAAAGTATCAACCTTTGCAAGCCACCCTCTCAGTATGGCTGAAGACATGAAAGGAAAACGGTACTTTTTTTCAGTAGTAGAAATACTAAGAAACACGACATGTTGTTACAGACAATACACTGTCCAAATTTCAGATTGGTTAGTTTGGGTTGGTGTATGAATTCGTTACTTTATGGTTCATAGCTAATCATGTATGTAATTTAACTTCAATTTAACTTAAGCAGGATAGTTAAGGTGGTGTTGTAGTGCTCTGTCGAAACAAACCGCAACCTAATACAGACATCGCAGGCATTCTGATTTCATAGACACCGGCCTAAGCTAGAACGGAATGGGCAAGGGTGGGGGGATTTGTGGTCCCATCAGTATAATTTGCCAAAAGGGTGAGGTATGTTGTTAAATCAGGACCAACAGTTTTGTTAATTGGAAAAAAGATTTGAAACTGAAAGTACAAGTTTTGACGTTTAACAACAATGCATCCAAACTAAAAATAAGTGTTATAAAGGAACTGAATCAAAATTATATTTAAACTGAAAAAGACTTTCAAACACTTATAGTTCAACATGAAAACTTAAAGTTTAAGTTTCAAATCTTTTTTTCAAATGAACAAAACTATCGGCCCTGATTTAGCGCCTTCCAGAATGCAAGACTTGCGGCCGGTTAATGTGCCTTGTGGGACGGGGCGGGGTTACGGGGGGGAAACGTGCTGGCTAATAATTACGCTGCCGCGGTGCAACAGATTTTCGGACTTGTCGCGTCCCTGGCGGCTGTCGGGGAGCTGATATAAGAGCTGCTGTCAGTTTGCGGGAGAGGTGGGGTGCGTGCAGATACACGCTTAGAGCACCAGCATAGTGATGCCGCAGTTTCATCCATCTGTTTTGCATAAATTCGATCATGTAAGGAAGTATAAATCCGACGAGTTGTCAGATATCTGAAGGAGGTCCATAAAGAAGTCTCCCAGCATTACGTATTACACAGAACTTCCCTTTCAGGCGCTTGTGTCAGGGCTGCCAACTTTAGTCAGCTGGCTGGAGTGAGATTTTCCAATTCGAGACAAGTCTGCACACGCATTTACATGCATGCAACAGTTTTATTAGGCTACATTGTAAATGGTCCTGTATGGTTTGCACACTGCCCCAACTAGTTTGATGTAGCTAATTTCAGGTTTATAATGGAATAACATAGATTTGCCGTGAGATTTCTTGCATGAGCATTGACAGGCCTGTTGTGTGCACAATACGGCCTCTACACCTATGTGGCAGCTTACGTAGAAATTTCCAGACGGCTTTGAAAAGGCTTAGGAGTTTGCATGATTTGTCTAAGACCAAATAACAAAATCAACGTTTTTAGGAGATGAATAAAACAAGTAGTCATGTCACTGGGACAATTGTTCGTCATTATACTGAAATGGACCCATTTGTACCCAAACGTCCTCAAACACTTGCTGTCACGGAAGTCTGACTATCGTAGTCCTGCAAGCCCCTAGGATCTTACACTAGTGCACAGTTTACGTCATAGTAGGAACTTCCACATAACATTATGATTGCGATTCAGCAGTACTTGTCACTGAGGTTCATTTTACTGTATGTATATGCAGAGACGATTCTAGGGGCACTGGGGGCCCTAGGTGAAACCTGCATGGGGCTCTCCTACTCACCCTCTCCCGGCATGGTAAATGTATTACATTTATTTTACTGTGAAGTGTAAATCTATAATATCAACAAAGAGAATTAAAGAAACACAAGACTTTTATTTTCACTTTTTGTGTAAAACGGAATACACAAATAAAACAGATTTCTTGCAGTGGACTATGTGGTCGGCCGCACTCAGGTAGGGTGACCAGATAATCCATGTCAGGGAGGACACTTTCAGCTACTTCGGGTTTTACAAACTACTTTCAAATTGAAAGGCTCCTGTGCTTGGCTAAATAGTTCAGTTCTTCCTGTGCTTTGACTGGTTTGTTTCCTTGACAGAAAGACTCATCCAGCTGTTTCACATTAGCAGTAGTGACACGTGCATGATTAAAGGAGACTGACCAATCAGCACACAGCAAGAACTCAGTGCTGAAGTCAGGTCCTTTTAATTGAAATGGTAATTTACAATTCCTGTCCTAGCTCAGAGTGTCCTCCCTGTCCTTCCCAGCTCGGGGCCCCCAGGCCGTTGCCTGTCCTGTGTCCGGCCCCCCAGGACTGGAGTCTGACACCTGTGGTCTAGCTCAAAACTGCTCCAAACATGACAATTTGCTACACCAGCGGTCTCCTGGAGAGCTACTATCCAGTAGGTTTTCTATCTTACCTGACTTCTGATGAGCCATGCCTGTTCTCAGGTATATACCAGGAACAGGTGTTGCTCATCAGAAGCCAAGTGGGACAGAATACCTACTGGATAGTACTGTAGCTCTCCAGGACCAGAGTTGGAGACCCCTGCGCTATGCCCTTTGAACTCCTGTATTTTACCCAATAAGCCTTTCATTGCAGTTGGCTTTAGGACCCAAAGACGTGTTTCCCCTCCAGTCAGGTGCTGTCTGGGTGTGTTTGCTTGTAAGGGCGTTTCTGCCTGAAACAAGAACGTCTCGCTGCTCTGACTGAACAGGTTTTTTACACCCACTGGAGCAGTCGGTGGATTTTCCTTTTAAGGTATAGTTTTAATAAAATCTTATTTTTATTACAATTTCTTTTACGCCGTTTTGTTAGACTAACCTTTTTCGTCGGTTAAAAATAATGCGCTGTAGAGTAGATTTTAGTTAAAGCATGTTGTAGTGCATAATAAACGTACGTTTTGGGTGAGCTGTACTCGTAAAATGAGCATTTTTTAAATTGCAGAATAAATTTGTTAGTATTGGTTAATGATGGCTATTATTTCATCAGAGGCATGCTACTTGTATTTTAGGATTACTGAATTGTGGTGCAGTTTGGCCTGTTCTATATACGCAATTAACTTGCTAAAAGTTTTCAGAAAGATACGGTCTTTAGATTTTGGACTGAGTTTAACCTAATTAAGCGTGAAATTTAGTTGTATTTGCTTTAGATCGATCACTTTTGTCTGCAGTTACGACTCGGAGCGCACTTCCTGTGTAGATAAATGTAAATGACGTTTTGTACTACAGAATATGCCATTGCATTACATCGTATGACGATTCGTTGTTTTCTTATGAAGTACTGATATAATTCCTTTTGAGGTTCTATTTAATTATCTTAAGTTACAGTTAATGATTCAGTATTTTAAAAGTGTCATGCCCTTATTGCAATGTAATCGTAACTAAAACGAGTTTTTACAGATGCGTTATATGTCGACATATTTTGAAGTAATTTCCTGAACATTCTGTCACATATTCATCAATTAATTATTAAAGGCGCATGTCTTACATATGCAGAACGAATAATAAGGTTTTCGCAGTTACTAAAGTGTCATGTTTTCCTTTTCCAAGCAACCCTCCAAATAAATCTCAAGATGTCATTTTTATTAAAAAAAATGGTTGGTGGTCTTATCGACTACGCTATAAGGTGAGTATTTCAAACATCCTCTGATACAATTTAGTCTAACATGAATATATGCACAGACTTTAAAAAGCTGACTGATTATTTAAAATTACAAGTAAAAAATGAACGCATAGCAAACAGGTATATAAAGACTAAAAACTATGGAAACTCATAGTTTAATTGTATTAACTCTACAATTCACAGTAGTTTAATTGCTGTGAATTGAATGACACACGTGACCTTTCATTGACAGTAACATCGATTCCAGCCAGTTTATACCTTCAGAACCTGTAAGTTGAGAGAATATTTTGTTTTCTTTATTACATGTATATTGTACATAGTATGCCTGGGTCATGGGACGTAAATAACTATATAGCTATATATGCCGTGTAGTAACTATACAGGATCACCATTGGTGCATTAATTTTGTTGTTTCTTCATAAAGTGATGTGTATGTAGATCTTGTATACAATGTTAATAACCCAGTTCAGCAATAGTGTTTAACTGAAGTGGGGAAAGCATATTTTTATATTTATTTTGGAGTGAATAATGAAGTGATTTTGCTTTCAGAAGTGTGATTGTTTAATGTGTTATGAGTGACTTGCCTGTGTTAGAGGATTACCTATATCTTCTATATCATGCGTGTTTTATTCTTGGTATTACGGTAATGTAGATATATAAGGCTGTGGGTAATAGATGTGTCTCTGTGCATTAGCCTCCAGCCCAAATGCATCAGACACATGCTGCGCTGAATGAGAGCGCCGAAGAGAAGCAGTTCCGCAGGGTCTTCGAGCAGCTGGCTGGGGAGGTGTGTACCACCTGTAAATGTTATGTCTTCTTTATGATCCTGACATTCTGATACCTCCATATCTGGGGATAGCGTCATGTCACGACTCTGGTACGCAGGGCAGAGAAACGGGAGCGAGATTCCA